AGATCTCTAAAAAGTTGTCAATATGTGCATTTGGATCCTCATTGTTAAAACCGGAGAATTGATTCTGCTGCACCATCTGGATCAATGCTGGCTTGAGCTCAAAGGTATTCGCAGCAATGGTAGGCCTAGTAATACTTGACCTAGCAACATTCTCCGTAGGTGTAAAGTAATCCCTCAGTGTCCGAGTGTTTACTCTGTCGCCCATGGTTTCACTCTGATTCTTCTCTTTTCTTAGTTTTGCTTCTTTTCTGTTCGCACGAGCTGTTCTTTCTATCTCTGGATCAAATTGCAAGGTCTCAGAATTAGCACTTCGCATATAAAAACAAAAAATATTTAAAAGAAATCACTAAAATAGTAAGACAATAAAATAAATAAAATAAAAACAAATCTAAACTAATAAAAGAAAGTAATCTAAATTCGATATTAGCTGTCTTCCCCGGCAACGGCGCCAAATTTGACAAGCCGTCGTCACACTAGTCAAATAATAATTACCTACTTAATACAATTACTAGTAGTAAAGCAGAAAGCAGGGTCGATCCCACAGAGAAGGAATACTAATTACCAGGTATAAATTACTCCTATTATTATCTAGATAAATGATGATCTCATATTTATAAAATTTTAAACTAAGCTAAATAAAAATAAAGGCAAATAATATTAATTCAAGTAATCAGACAAAGAAAACCTAGGACATTGGGTTCACCTACCGAATATTTGGGTTAGTTCAGTTCACAAATATCTGACTTTTAACTTCCATTAATCTCACAACGATTCACCTAATTAAGAACTATACACTCTCGTGTTATAATTCTCTTACTTATATTAACCCTATGACTACTCTCGTGACTATAGGAATTAACAAAAGCACATTAAGACCATTAAGAATCAAATATTGCAAAGGTTATAATCTTACTCTTGTAGCTTATAACCTAAGTTTATTATTCCTACGAACTAATACTAATCTTCCACTCTCGCTACTTCGATTAATATCTTCAGACGTGCAAATAGTGGCCAATTACTTACACGGATTAAAACAAGAATAACAAATATTAATTAATGGAAAAATCAAATAATAATGAACCAAATAAACCAAATAAATTCGGTGGCTACACCCAAGCCCTAGATTAAAATAATTTAGCCACTAAACATTATTAAAATTAATTCAATAATATTTAGAGACATAATAAAAATAATAAATTAAATAAATTAAAACTCCAAAACCGAATGAAGCCAAAAGACCCGCCAAAAACTCCCCGGATTTGCTCGCTTCGCGGCTGATGCGTGGCTCGCCGGTGAATCAATGATGGAGGAAGATGCTTCGGTGGTGCGGCGTCGGTGATCAGGAGAAGGTGGAGTTGATGCTGCTGCTGTGTGTGCGAAGGCAATGGAGCAGGGTGTGGCATCGGTGGTGCTGCGCGGCGGTGATGGAGGAGAGGTGGTGGTTATGCTGCCGGTGAAGGAGGACTGCGTGGAGGATAGAGACGAGGTGGAGAAGGAGGCTGCCGGTGAAGGAGGAGGGAGTTTGGTGGTGCGAGAGTTGCCGAGCAGCGGTGAAGAAGGAACAAGAAGGTAGATGGCGGTGATGGTGATTTGCAGCCGTAAGGTTTTCGGCCAGGTTTCGGTTCAGTTCTGTTGTAAAAATAAATCTCTAATCCCCCTTTTATAGGCTTCCGGCTAAACCCTACTCCTTGAAGAACAAGAAAACTTGTTTCCCAATTAATATCGGGATTAAAATTCTTATCCAATTCCAATCCCAAATCGGCCGCATAACCATAACCTTCTCGGCCAATTTTCCAAAAACTTAATTAACCAATCCAAAATTGCATCATTGGCCCTCCAATTCTCTAAACTCATTAATTTCCTCCCCATCAATTGCTCCAATCTTCAATTTTTTTCCCATTGAGTTGCTTTTAATTCGATTTTAGCTCAAAACTTCAACAATTCGTCATTTGAGTACAATTCCTACAATTAAAGATAAAATCACATAAATAGCATATTTGTACTCAAAATATATTGCAAAAATCACAAATTAGGGATATAATAAATAGGTAAAATATAAGCATATCAGTTAGGGCCTAATTTGTGCCGTTACACTATTAAACTTATGAAATTTTTTTAAATGTGACCCTAGCCTAATTGGTTTAAAAAAATTTAAACCAAAAAAATAAAAAAATATTAGTGGGTTTAAGTATTTTTGTGTCGGTTAGGGTCTAGTTGTTTAGGGTTTAGGGTTCAGGGTTTAAGGCGGTTTAAGCATTTCCGTGTTGGTTAGGGTATAGTTTGGTCTTTTGGCCATTGGTCTTTGGTCTTTACTTCCCATACACACTCGCTATTTATTCTGGTCTTTGGTATTTGATCTCTCGGTATTTGGTTTTTGGCCTTTTGACTTTGGTCTTTTTTTTTCATATATGCTCGCTCTTCACTCTGCTCTTTGGTCAAAGTAAACAGCGAGCGGGTGTGAGGAACAACGACAAAAGACCAAAGACCAATGACCAAGAAACCCAAAACCGAAAACCATAGACCAGAGTGAAAGAGCGAGCGTTGTGTGAGGAGCAAATGACCAAAGACCAAAGACTGAAAGCCAAAGACCAAAGACCAAAAAAATTTACAAAAACTAAAGACCAAAGACCAAAATTAAAAGCAAACGTGTGTGAGGAGTAAAGACTAAAGGTCAAAGATAAAAAATGTGTTTAGGTTTAGGGGGGTTTAAGCATTTCCTTGTTGGTCACGGTCTAGTTGTTTAGGATTTAAGGTTTAGGGGAGTTTAAGCATTTCCTTATTGGTTAGGGCCTAGTTTGTTCCGTAACACGATTAACCTATAAATTTTTTTAAACCAAAAAACATAAATTAGTGTGTTTAGGATTTAGGGGGGTTTAAGCATTTCTGTGTCGGTTAGGGTCTAGAGTTTTAGGTTTTAGGGTTTAGGGGCTTTAAGCATTTCCATGTCGATTAGGGCCTAGTTTGTGCCGTAACACAATTAACCTTATAAATTTTATTAAATTAATTAGGCTAGGGTCTCGTTTAAAAAAATTTAAATCAAAAAAAAAATAGTGTGTTTAGGGTTTAGGGGAGTTTAACCATTTCCGTGTCGGTTAGGGTCTAGTTGTTTAAGGTTTAGGGTTTAGCGGGTTTAAGCATTTCCGTGTCAGTTAGGGCCTAATTTGTGCCGTTACACTATTAAACTTATGAAATTTTTTTAAATGTGACCCTAGCCTAATTGGTTTAAAAAAATTTAAACCAAAAAAATAAAAAAATATTAGTGGGTTTAAGTATTTTTGTGTCGGTTAGGGTCTAGTTGTTTAGGGTTTAGGGTTTAGGGTTTAGGGTTTAGGGTTTAGGGCGGTTTAAGCATTTCCGTGTTGGTTAGGGTATAGTTTGGTCTTTTGGCCATTGGTCTTTGGTCTTTACTTCCCATACATACTCGCTATTTATTCTGGTCTTTGGTATTTGATCTCTCAGTTTTTGGTTTTTGGCCTTTTGACTTTGTTCTTTTTTTTTCATATATGCTCGCTCTTCACTCTGGTCTTTGGTCTTTGATTTTTTGATATTCGGTGTTTGGTCCTTGGTCTTTGGTACTTACACACGCTCGCTCTTCACTTTGATCTTTGATCTTTGGTTTTTTGTCTTTGCTCTTTGATTTTCGCATTTTGGTATTTGGCCTTTGGTCTTTGGTGTTTCCTCTAGGTCTTGGTCCTAAAAGACACAAGTAAGACCATAGTGTCTTTTTGGAAGACTAAGGCAACTGCATAAATTTTTTAAAGATTTGAAAAACATATTCATGATAGATCTTGTTAGATAGATCTCATCGAATACTATCAAAATGATATAAGACACTTGGTCTAATTCATTACAAATTAAGAAATAAAAATCATTTGAGAATAAAACAAATTTTTAAAACACACTTCATAAAATTAAGGAAGAGTGGTGCGTGTTTTTCACCTAACTCATAAAGACTTGCATGTTTAACCCTCATTTTCTATACTAATTGTCAAATAAGAGTCTATGTGTACCTAGTTACATGCACTTAATGTGCATGGTATAATTTTCGCCTAGGAAGCTTCATAGTTTCAAGTTCATATTAATAAACGAGAACGAAGTACAACAAGCAAATGCGTTCAATTAAATAGGGCATGACTGGTCCAAAATGGTTCCCAGATACAAAAGATTGTGCAAAAGCGGTATTGAAAGTGAACAAAAACAAAAGTATCTAAATATATAAGTGGGTATAAAAAACTTTTTTGTTTTCTGGGCAAAACAAAGAACACCAAGAAGGGGCTTCTTTTTCCCCCTTCGAGACATTTTGCAGACTCAAAAAGACGTCTAAAAATAGTAAAACGTAAACCTCATTCATTCACAAATTCTGCATTAAAATATTGACTATTCAACTACAAATATGCGTAACGTTGTGTGAGCTTCCATTTTCGTGGTGCCGGCCGGTTTGCATTTTGTCACAATTGGATCAACATAAGAATGTCCATTTAAAACTATATACTTACTTGGCAAAAAATTTATTGACGTTATTACTCTTATCAAGGACGGATAGTAATGCAATCGAGATTTCATCACGAATTCCTCAATTTCAGAGTCCATCTCGATATAAATTTTTAGTTTAAACAAAATAAGACGGATCAAATTTTACTACGTACTTATATATTGACTTTATGGTATATATGTTCTTAGCATGCCTATCAATCATTTGTCAACGATAGCTCTTTCGTCTGAGTATCTCCTATCCAAGACCATACCTCCTAAGAGTCGTGGAAAACAAAATAAATCCAATTTACCCATTACCTTATCCACTCCTAAAACAACTTTAAGTACTTCTATATATAGTTTTATAGTTCGTCATTGTTAGGTACCGATATAACAACGACAAAAAAAAGTACCAAACACCTTCAATTACACATCAAATAATTCGACTTTTCATGCACTTTTTACAAAGTCTTGTATATATCGTCACATTTAGTACATTAGTAAGCAACCTCTATAGCACATTAATTATGGCACACCACCATAGAAGTACTACTATCTTTTTTCCCTTCTTTGTCATGGTAGTTGTCTCTTCATTTTCATTTTCATCTTGCATTCATCATGAACACATGCTTGAAGATCATAATCGTTTCCAAGAGGAAATCGGTTATGATTTTCAAGCATACCCTTTATATACTAGCCAAGTTGACATTCATGGCCGGGGACAATTATGCGATATGAATTCCACCAACCAAATTGAAGACGAGAGGATTTCTAGCTTTGACGGATTGATTCGCCAGTTTTCGGATGATTCAGCTAGGTCAACAATTGTTGTAGATAACTATGGAGCTAAGGGTGATGGAAGTTCTGATGATACCAAGGTAAGTTATTCAAAGTAGTTATGAATTTAAAGGTTGTAATTAATTATGATTCCCCATCTGATCCTAAGAAATGTTTTTGGAAGCTTGTTTAGATGCACAAGTTCTATGGGTGCTCTTCCTTCATAAAAGTTGATGATTGATTAATGATGCAATTTGAGTTATGTAATTGACATTTTGATTTCTTGGGGATTTTGTTTTCATAGGCATTTCAAGATGCTTGGAACCAATCATGTTCATCGACTAGTCCTGTTACTTTTGTGGTGTCACGAGGAAAACAATATCTTCTCAAACCTATAACTTTTTCTGGTCCTTGTAATTCTCCATTAACACTGCAGGTAAGTTAAGTTATTTACTAATCTACTAGTTCATATAACATTCCACGCCTGTCTCATCAGTGAAACGATGAAATCAATTCATTAGTTACGAGTATGCTTTGCACATCAGGATATTGTAATATTCTTAATTATGCAGATATATGGGACTTTGAAAGCATCTGATAACAGAGGGGACTACCGCGTAGATGGAAGACACTGGATTCTTTTTCAAAGAATTAAAAACTTGACTGTTGAAGGAGGTGGAACCATCAACGGAAATGGAAATATATGGTGGCAAAATTCTTGCAAAATCAACAAAACCTTGGTAATATATATTTAATCAATTCCATATGCGGGATTCATAGTTTCAACTTTTCCAGCCATAACAGTATAAATTTTAATTAATTCCTTAAGTTTAATTTTTAGTGTTCGCTTTGGTTAAGTTGTAGCACTAACGTCATTTCCATCATCTTTTTCCTCTTTTGAAAATGCAGCCATGCAAGGAAGCCCCAACGGTATGTGCATGCTTTTTGCTCTTTTTCTGCCTTTTTTTTTTTTGGGGGCTTCTTTACGATATCTACGTCTATACTTTGCTGAAAATGAAATAAATATTACTTTATTAGATGAAACAAAAGGAAACACTTTGCGTCTAAACACATTTTCCTTCATTGATAGAATGTTTCCTTTTGTTTGAAACCAGTAAATTTACATTTAATTTAATCACTCCGAAATTCTACTTATGCAGGCTGTGACTTTTTACGATTGCCAAAACATAATCGTTGAAAATCTCAACATTGAAGATGCACAGCAAATGCACATTTCTTTTGAACAATGCTCCAATGTCCAAGCATCCAATTTGGTTGTCAAATCTCCAGAGAAAAGTCCTAACACGGATGGAATTCATGTTGCAAACACTCACAACATCCAAATCTCTAGCTGCACAATCGGAACCGGTATAAATAATTTGGAATATCAATGATCAATAAAAGAAATATTACGGTGATAAATAATTATTTTCCTATTTCCTGAATGATATTTCAGGTGATGATTGTATTTCAATCTCAAATGGATCCCAAAATGTCCAAGCCTCTGATATCATTTGCGGTCCTGGTCATGGAATAAGGTAACGAATTAAATTAACACTTATAAACCTATGTTTTCTTTATTGTTTTTTTTTTTTTGATTAACTTTATTTTGGAATGGTTAATAAATTTAGTATTGGAAGCTTGGGAGCTAAAAATTCAGAAGCTCGTGTTTCTGGTGTCTTTGTCAATGGAGCAAATCTTTCTGGAACCACCAATGGAATCAGAATCAAGACATGGCAGGTACAAATTAAATTATGAAACAATTAATTTTTTCTAATAATTATTTGAAAAATAGTCGGTTTTAATTAACGACTAACAATAATAATTCGTTAAATGCAGGGTGGATCCGGAAGTGCAAGCAACATGAAATTTCAAAACATCCAGATGCAAAATGTGGAGAATCCCATAATCATTGATCAAAACTACTGCGACCAACCTACTCCCTGCACCCATCAGGTTAACATATTCATGTCTGAGTGTCTTGAATCTCTTGATGAACCAATATAAATCGTAAATATTAATTATCATTTTGCCCTAATTGAATTAATTCACATAACAATTTTATTTACCACTATTCATTCTCTTATATGATTTTCGGGTTCGTCTAACACTATACATGCACATTTTTCATAACAGGAATCGGCTGTTCAAGTGAAAAATGTGTTCTATCAGAACATCAGCGGAACCAGTGCTTCGGACATAGCTATAAACTTTGATTGCAGCAAGAGTTATCCTTGTGAAGGAATACTGCTGCAAAATGTTGATTTGGTTAAGGAAGGAGGTGGAGCTTCAAATGCTTCTTGCAATAACATACACTTGATCAATGTTGGAACTGTATCTCCACGCTGCCCTTAAAGGGCTCCATCCCAGTTAATTATACGAATCTTTGATGTAAATATTAATTAGTAGTACGCATTTGTATTTATTGGATTGTTTATTCTTTATAGAAATAAACAGAAGATGAAAATTTAATGGTTGTCTTGTTATTGATTAATTGTTGTAATGAATAATAAAATACAGGTGATAAATTGATAATCTTCTTTTTGTCTTACAGCGGCTTCTTACCAGAGTCTTTTTTTATGTAGAATTTTGGTAACCGTTCCAGCAAATAGTCATGGTTAGAGTGATTTTCGTTTGACATTCTTTTTGTCCATTTGATGAAAAATAAAAATCTCGAATGGGCAAAGGACCAGGAATTATCCGAAATCTTGACGTATTACCTAGCTAGCTTTCTTAAAAAAAAAATTAAAAAAAAAAGATACATGTATATTAATTAAGAAGTATCTGTATATTAAAAAGATACTTGAACTATTACATCATATTAGCTAGCTTATTGTTCATTCATACTAGGGATGAATTAGTTTCCAAGTTTCCTTTCCATCTTAAGGAGTATCATATGGCCTCAACTCCTTTGTTCTCCTCTATCATCATCATAATTAAACTTGTATCGAGCTTTGAATTTTTATTTTTATTTTTATTTTTTTTTAAAAAAAAGGAATCGAGCAACAGCCATGCAGTGATTAAGATTGGACAAACTTTGAGCCTAAACTCGAATCAAATTAATTTCCCCGGAATGGACATCGGGAACTTAGAGGATTGAGAAAGAAAAAAAATGAAGTAAATAGAAGCATAAATGATGAGAATAGTATTATTATTTTTGTATGTTTCTTTAAAGAAAAAGTTCACATTGAAGAAGCATTAATTGTTTAAATTATTGGGGTTCCATAAGATGTCCTGAAAATTTGATGAATGAGATTCTGGTACAACCAGTTTTTAATCGGTCATATTTACTTAATAAATTAGCACTTCATCTATTACACGAGTACTTCCTCCTCTTTCCAACTAAAACATGCTTCTTTCTTCAAATTGATGACGATGAAACATCCTTCTCCATTGGTGAAACCTGCGTACAATAAATAAACTATAAACAAAAGTCGACAAAAATGTCAATCTTCTATGCAAATTGATCATAAAATGCTTCGCGTGTTCGAGTTTAGCAAACTAGCAAACAAATGTACGGGTTAGATGAATCTCAAATATATCTATAATTTTAGATGAATTTCAAATCGATCATTTTCACTTTTAGTACAATTTAAACTAAAATCAAAAAATTAAACTGGACAATAATTTTAGGATGGAGAGATGAGTAAGTTTTGAGCGATACCAACCTGCACTAATTAAGCCAGTGATGGGGTGTCAAGCCACACAAATAAATTAACCTACTTCAAACTACGTAGTATAGAGAAGTAATGTCGTCTTCTCCGGGAACGATAGATTATTTCCTTCAAATTAATGTAAAGATGGATTTTTGGATTGTTGTTCTAAATCTATGATAATGAAATTCAAATAACAAAAACTAAATAAATGAAAAGAAATCAAAGTAACAGACTTCTGACTCAAGGGACGGATAACTCAATTATTTTCTTAATCACAGGCTACTAAAACTACTCTTGCAATTTAAGCATTCAACCAAAGATCTATTAGGATAGCCGTAATAAATCAATTAATCTCCCTAAATTATCTAACCAAGCCTAGCACTCAATTAGTCCTTATCATAATTCGGTTGGGCATGATAGCGTTCCATACCAAACAATGACAGCATAAATACCAAGGAAATATAGTTGAACCAAAATATAAACAATTGAGATAACTGCAACTATTCAGATTTTGCCTGATTGATTCCACATTTAAACTAACATGCATATTTAATGTCTCACCAATACACATGCTTTGTCTACTTGCTACTCAGTACTGCCGGTTCTTGTCTATTACGTAACATTCAACTAGCATATATCACTAGAAAATAAATAATAAATCAAGTTGTCAATTTAATTGATATCTACTTTCATAACTCAATACAAGAATAAACAAATACTTAAATTATATGCAAGAAAAATAAATTAAGAAAAAAATCTCATAATGAAATAACTAAATAAATCCCTTGAACCAGAAAGAAAATCCTTAGCCACTCATGAATGGAAACATGGCGGCTTTATTCTCCATGAAAATTCAAGAAAAATTAGAAGAAATAAAAGGTTTGAGGTACTAGCCTTTGGCCTATGCACGGCTGCCCACAAAAATAAAACAAAAGTCTATTTATAAAAAGAACTTTAGGTCAGCCGCTGGAAAAGAAAAAGAGATCCATAATTTGCAATTTTGGTCCCTCAAGTTTGCAGTATTTTTACTTTTGTCCAAAACTTCTTCAATTTTGTATTTAAGTTCCTGGTCGTGCAAAATCATTCAAAACAGCTCCAATCTCTTATTTTCAACTCTTAACAAGAAATAATAACAAAACTAATGAATTAAACCCATCCGAGTCCATAAACTAGTCAAATAAGAACAATTAAAACATAATTTATGCAATCCATCAAATTCCCCCACACTTGAAGTATGTTTGTCCTCCAGCATTAAAGAACACATGAATTCTAAAATTTCTCTTATTTAAGATGTGCCTTAGAAACTCTAGGACTCAAAAGAAATCATGGTAACAACGAAACAAAAATTCACAACCAAGTCAAATACATTGTGTACTTTTACCCTTTAGCCCTTTATGTGTGAATGTAAACTATTTCCTAGGGACATCACTGTTACACATAGCATAAAATACAAAAGTTCAAATGCAAATATACCACTGAAGAGTGAACTTAAGATCCCTAATTCAGATCGTACTTCAATGCAATGTTACTCCTACACATATTATGAAACCAAAGGCTTACAATTACACCTCACATAATACAATTCAACGCACTTCCCTCGTATCCATTCTTCGGTGTCCATATGACTTTTCTTCAGGATCTTTCCCACTCACGCCCCTACCCAGAGCATTTTTCCACTTGCTTTATGTAGTGATTTACATAGTGGCTCAGCAACCTAGGGCAGTCTACTTACTCATATTTTCTTACCGAAGGGCCTGATGACACTCTAGTAGTTGTTTGCCAGACTTCTCAGCTATCAATGAGCTAGCATCAACATTGAATGCTCTTCCTTTTCTCCCTGTTTAAATTGTACCTAACCTCAGAAAAGCATCCGCCAACAACCCCTCCCCCACACTTAGAACATACATGTCTACAATGTAGCAAAAGATATAAAAATGAAGAGTAACACTTCCCTGAAAAATGTTGGTGATGCAGGGTGCGAAACAGGAATTGACGAACGATGATAATAGCACCAGAAGATAGCCAATGATCCAATTGAAGTTTGGTTCGCCTGATTCGCAATTTTGGAATTTAGGGTTCCCTGAAAAGAATAGAAAGAAAATAAAACTTAAAAGAAAATATGGATTATTTTTTTTTAAGAAACGAGCTCCAGCGTGTTAGATGTGATCACGTCTAAGAAAGGATCCGGTTTTGCCCTGCCAACTAAAAATCACTTAAAAAAAAAACTGAACCTCTCTTTCTCTTAGGCGTGATCACGCCTAAGAGAAAGCCACTCCAATGAAAAGCTGCGAACCAAATGTGTACTTATCCGTGATCACGCTTAACAGAAACTCTCTTTTTTTTTTCTTAAGAAGAAAATACTAAACACACTAACCAACAAAAATAAACTAACTAATCAACACAATAAAATTTAAACACTTTGGGTTGTCTCCCATGTAGCGTCTTTCTTTAATGTCTTTGGCTAGACAAATTCCATGCGTCTCTTGGCGGAAATTTTGAAACTCCATCTAACAACAGTAGATAAAATCCAGATAGATGATCTCCAACTACTACCTCATTCTTTGAAAACTTCTCCATCACTTTTTGTTTGGACTCCTCCATTCTTGACTCTACTCGCATATCTGAAGAAGAACTAACAAATGCATTAGTTGGACTAAATAAAATTGAAATATCAATTACCTCATTGTCCAATGCCTCTGCTTTGTTTTCCTCTGCTCTCATATGTTTCAAATTATTTGCGTTTTGAGTAGGTGCAGTCTCCACACCATAAACCTGTTCTATGAAAGGATATCTCATTCTCTCTAACTCGTCCCTTGAGAATCTGCTAGGAAAAGGAGGAAGTACAACATAATGTGGCTCTTCTCTAGCAACTTCCTTCGCTACCTTCTTCTCAGATACATCATATTCAAGCGTCGCTACTTCCTCGCTCATGGCACAGACACTCTCTATGGGATTAATTACCGATAGAGATGGTAATTCCACAGGCTTTGAGACCTCGAACTTGCTAATAGCATTAGCTAGCTGGCTAATTCGGCTCACCAAATCTTGAATGAAATCTCTTGTTTCTTGTATGCTTGCTCTTGGTTCCTGGTCAAATTCAAGAGTATTAGCTGCCAAAGTACTAACAATCTCATCTAAAGACAAACATGAGCTTTAAGACTGTGGAGGTTCCGGAACATGATACACTTGTGGCTGAGATGGCTGATACTCATAGTTGAAATTCTGGTAATCCTGTCAGCCTGGATCATATGAGTATGAACTAGTTTCGTATCTCTCTTGTGGTGGTTGCCAAGATTCTCTCATAGCATCCTGAGGCTCCCACTGGTAATGTGATAATCTTGGACAAAAATCTCTAGTATGACCAGTCATTAAACAAAGACCATATCTTGGGACTTGTTTCTGTTGACCTATAGCCAAATTTTTCACAAGAGAAGTCAGTTCAAATAATTTTTGCTCAAGATACGAAGAACTTACCTCATTTTTATTCCAATGGTCATCTCGACGGTTCCAAGATTGATATGTATATGAGTCCATTGCAAAAGGAAAAAAAAAACTAAAATAAAACAAAACAAAAATTTAAAGGAAACAAATCAATTAACACCGTTCTCCGGCAACGGCAACAATAAATTAACCTACTTCAAACTACATAGTATAGAGAAGTAAGGTCGTCTCCTCAGGGAACGATAGATTATTTCCTTC